AGCTTCTTCTCCAGGGCGCCCTTCTCTCATGGTTACAACTTGAAATTTATCGTCAGTTTTAAGCTTTAGCCGTCGGGCTGTGGAAGCGGGAGAGGGGGAGGGGGGCTATCGGTCGGCGGTGAGGAACAGGCGAGCTTTCCATTAACTTCACACCCTCTTTGCGGCCCTTGTCGTAAACATCCGGGGGGAGGGTCCCGAGGGGAAGGAGGGGGGGGGGACGGAAGGGGTTGGAGCGCCGCCGGCGAGCGTGTACCGCCTGTCGCTGGGCGATCGCCAGGTGTCGAACAAACAGTTTAGAACGTATTAGTGTAATGGACTCGTGCTGTGGCGTGCCGAGGCAGGTTGAGGCGAGACGTGGCGTGTGCCGCTCAGCTCATATAGGCGATGAGGCCGAGCCCCGCCCAATAAAACGCTATTCACTTTTTAAACATCCCCAAGACTGTCTCTACACACTCAACCATTAAGCAGTTTGGCGTGCATTAACCAGAGGTGGGCAACGGTTCCGTTCGGTTCTCCCGTTCCGGTTCTGTTTGTCCGTCAGGCCAGGCGGACAGACCACAGCGGCCAGACCCGGTCCCGCCTAGTTGCTACCCGGACCGAGAATGTCTGTCCGCATGTTCCGGCGATCAGACAGCGCCGCTCTCGTCGTCAAGAGGTGCGTCCGAAGTGTGACGCGCTTTCTCTTGCATTGACAAGCTCGCAGTGGGTGCGAGTGAGAGCGACAGTCCGCTCGGACGCAGCAGCGAGCGGGCTGGCCGAGACGGCTTGCCCCCTCCACCTCACTGTCCGGGCCGGTGGGCCCGGAACCGGCCCGGTTCTAGAGAGAGGGACCGGGCCCGGAACCGGGACCGCTTTTAGCCGGTTCCTCTGGTCGGAACCGGAATGGAACCGTTGCCCACCTCTGGCATTAACATGCACGCCTAGGCAAAGTTATGCCTAGCCTACTGCACACGCAATCGCTGCCCCCACTCTTCCGGCTTCCCGATGCTGGCGCAAGCGTTCAAACTCGCCGGCTCGCTCTTTGAGGCTCTCTGATCACGCCGTTGAGGAGCACATATATGTGCCTTTCACCCTCGTGGACTATTGTGCACTTTGCTGACAAGTTGCAGCTACGTGGGCTGCACCAAGAGGGGGAGGGAGCTTCGTGGACTGGTCGAGCGGACTGTCGGTTTATTAATCCCCTTTCACCTCCTCGGCGGCCCGCCGGGCCCTTATTAATTCATTGCTGCCACTCTGTCTGTCTGGGGGCTCCACCCCCTCTCACTCCTCCCCTCTCTCTTCATTCCTTTTATCCAGTCGATGCTTCTGTTTGTTGTCCCGCACTGCTGCTACTGCTGCTGCTGCTGCTGCTGCTGCTGCTGCTGCTGCTGTTGCTGCTGCTGTTGCTGTTGCTGCTGCTGTTGCTGCTGCTGTTGCTGTTGCTGCTGCTGTTGCTGCTACTGCTGCTGCTGCTGCTATTTTGCTGCTATTGCTGCTGTTGCTGCTGCTGCTGCTATTTTGCTGCTATTTTGCTGCTATTGCTGCTGCTGCTCCTGCTGCTGCTGCTGCTGCTGCTGCTGCTGCTGCTGCTGCTACTGCTACTGCTACTGCTGCTGCTGCTGCTGCGCTGCTTGCAGCTCGCTTTCCTTACAAACGGCCGCTCTCGATCGCCGCCGCGCGGAGAGACGCATGGCTGGGGTGGAGGAGGGCCGTGAGGAGCAGAGCCGAATCTCAAAGTAATTTCCTAACGGGCGATTTACGAAGCGAGTCGAGTAAAGGAAAGAAGAAAACGCAGTTAAGAAGAAGTAGAAGAAGAAGAAGAAGAAGAAGAAGAAGAAGAAGAAGAAGAAGAAGAAGAAGAAGAGTCTTCAGAGATTGGAGTGGGCCGCACCGAGTCGGAAGAAACTTTATCCGTTAATTAACATAGATAATTTAGGGACGGGCAGAAGCGTCCGGCTGCACCCCCCTCCACTTACTCTCAAATCTAAACCCGCGTACGTCCCCGCGGCCGCGGCCTCAGATAGGCGCAGGGAGGGTCCCCCCCTCCTCGGGGACGGGCGCGCGGGCGTTTCAAAAAGTTGCCGCCGCCGGTTTCCACATGGATGGCCGTGCTGTAAGTTACAGGTGAGCATTGCGGGGCGGGCCAGTGGCCTCGGTCGGGCGGCCCCCGCGGAGGACCCCACCAATTTGAATGTTAATAAGAACGTTAGTTGGCGTTGGCCTGTTGGCCTCGCGCCGGCCCGCTCGGCTGCCGAGTGGGCCACGAAATAATAATGTTAAAACACAACCGAGGGGAAGAAGAGAGAGGGTAGGAGTGTGAGAGAGGGAGAGAGGGAGAGAGAGAGAGAGAGAGAGAGAGATAGAGAGAGAGAGAACACTAAAAAAATAATAAACCGATGCCGTCGGGAGCACGTCATGGTTAAGGTAACAGCCTAGACTGCAGCAAAAACTGTCGTCTGGGTAGGGGGACGGATGCGGATCACGGACAGTTCGAAAAACACGTTGGCTAAGTGAAAACTTTTCATTTTGATGTGTTGGTACATGTCATTCGACATTCGACATGTTCTAGCGGGGAGGTAGCCTTAAACCTCGTCAACATCTGCGTTTTTCCAGTTCACTCAAACAAATATAGCTTTTTCTTTTTAGCAGATGCGGGTGCACAACGGGACGGGCCGACCGGCGATAGGCAGGCTGAGTGGATCGGACCGCGCAGCGTAGTCGCGAAAAATACTTGGCATTCCTCAGGTTTATCTCTCACTTACCCAACATTCCGACCTCTTCATCACTCTATCTTTGGCGTCATTATAAAATAGTTCGTCCGACGTCGGACCTTCGCTGTACAGTATAGCAGATCGATGACGAATATAATATTGCGCTCTCATCGACGTTATGGACGCTACCGGCGCTACCCCGGTGAGACCGGAAGTGTATCGTGACGCAGCGCATTCCTCTCCCCTGCCAACCCTTCCCCCTCTCTCTCTCACCCCCCCCCCTCTCTGATCCCTGCCCTGGCTACTATGTGCTCTCCCTCAAACCCCTTGTCCCAATATCAAAGCGATGACTCATTTCCCACAGTAGTGCGAACCGCACAAAGTTGGGGTGGTCGGTAACGTGAGGGGGGGGGGCACGGGAAAAGCGAACGAGGGTCACGAAGAGGAAGCCTGAGGAAGAGAGGGAGAGAGGGAGAGGGAGAGGGAGAGGGAGAGAGAGAGAGAGAGAGAGAGAGAGAGAGAGAGAGAGAGAGAGAGAGGGGATGGAGGGAGGGAGAGGGCGTTTCACCACATGGTGGGGCTGTCTGATCGAGGCAATCAGTGCTAAAAGGCGGGGAGGGGGATACGATCACCTCTCCCATCCCCTCTTCTTCCTCGTCAGTCACCCTTCTCCAGCCCCCCCCCCTCTCTCTCTCTCTCTCTTTCTTTCCCTCAGTACGCACGCATTGCTAGCATCTGCTGCGCTCTGCTCTTACATTTTTTCCGTTTCGTCTGCCCCC